AATTATGCATACAACGTCTGTCGGTAGCGCAAACGAAAAGAAGCCTTACTCTTGTGAGGAACTGAACGCACGACGGGCGCGCTCACATTTCGAAATATTTGCCTTTTTTTWAATTTTGGTTGTGTTGATTGGCATGTTGAACGCATTGGAGGCGTGAAGGTGGGAGGTTGAGCATTGACGGGGGAGCATAACTGTATAATTTAGTGTAAAATTGAACGGTAAGGCGCAAAAGAAATTTTAGCGGCCATTACTGTGGCTAGGGAAAGGGCAAGCATACCGTTAGTTGCTTAGAGTTGCAGATTTTGTAAAGGAAGTGCGRTGTAAAGCGCCCACAGCTGGAGAAGCGCTTTGTTAGGCGTAATAAAAATGGTTGCTGGCAGCAGGTTGATGCTGGTGTTAAATTCATTAATGGCTTTAAATTCATTTTAGAAGCAGAACAGCTGGCACAATAATTATCAATAAAATATTTTTACATTCGGAGCATTTTTCTACGCATATTCATAATCAAAATAGCGCGTTCAAAGCCTAGATAATACGACTAACTATTCTCATTCGTGAAAATTTTCAAAAAATGTTTCAAGAAAAATTTATGTTTTGCATGAAATGGTTATTGGTACACATAAAATAAATTTTCCCGCTAACGCCCATAACAAATTATTAGAAATTACCACAAAAAATCGCCAGCGCGCCTAAAAGTATGCTACGCATACAACATAGCAACGAAATTCCAAACCAAAGATTAACTGTTGCACTTGTTACTGTGTTGGAGYATGCATGCAACTACATACATACGTAATCTGTAGGTCAGCTTTACCCCCCAACCAACTCCGCCACGCGCTTCGTGCCAAACGAAATTTATACATTATTTGTTTTTTTTTTTTTTTTTTTGTTTTTTCAAATCTGTGTGCGCGCGACTTATATGCTTACATAACTTGTTTAAGTACACATTACTGCTGCCTACTGTCAGGCAATTTGTTGTTGTTTGTTTGTGTATATTTCCTTTACAATTTACGCTTTTCCGTTAATGCTTGAAATGAAGTTTGTGTGGCTTTRCAAATACATACATATTGTTTTTTTGTGTGGACCTTACATCCGTTTTTCATAATCGTTTTTACTATATTTTTGGAAATTTTCTGCAGATTTTTATATTGTTTTTTGTTCACATTTTTTGCGTTTTTTAGCATTTTCTTTTCATTTAAACTAAATAAATGGTAAATGTTGTATGTATGTTTGTATGTTATGTTGCGTTATGTTTCTATGTATGTATGTATGTATGCATGTATGCGTGTATGTATATTATAAATTACAACGGAAGTGTCGGTGTGTTTGTAGTTGGTGTTGGCGTCAACATCGACGCGGATGGAGGATAACGCAACGTATGCTGTGACGTTGCCTGTTGTATATAATCCTGACTTGGATTATTCAATACGCTATCCCGTGAATTTGAATGTGAAGTGGCGCGTAGCAGTGTGACCGCTTCGCGTTCTGGACTACATTGGACACCGTCTAGTCATTTTTGACGTGATGATTTCTTCTTCTTTCGTTTAAAGAAACAACAACATCTGCAAAGACAACACAGGAATGAACTGAAATCAAAATAGATTATATAATAACAACCCAAATCAAAGAAATAAGCAGAAAAATATATTGCAAAGCTTGTAAGAAATATAGTATGTATATAAGTATGTATGTATGTATGTATATGAAAACGACAACTTACTTCGTTTCATCGACAAGCTCCACTTCGGGCTGCTGCGTTATAGGAGTATTTGAGTGGCCAGCTGTGGGATCGTCCGCATTCAATTCGCCATTTGTGGAACTCACAACCTGTTTGTGCGAGAAAATAAGAAAAAAATATTAAATAAATTGTT